CAGGGGAGGGGGGAGGGGAGGAGTCTGGAATGCTCTCATTTGACAGATGGCCTCCAGCTCAGCCAACTCCTAAAGCAGAGGAGGCACAAAAGCAGAAAACCAAACACTGGGGGTTAATGTGTTTCAGGGGTCTATAACCTTGGCCTTCAGAGCCATATGCTTTAGTGCTTTGGTAGGAGGGTAGACAGTCCACAGCTGGGGCAAAGGCAGCTAGAATGCCCTGTCTGGGCACCTAGGAATCCCCGTCACTGTCTGCCGTAAGCAACTTTCAACTGGTTACACGATATTTTTGGGTGCTAAAGTGTCTAGGTTCAGGCACCAACTGATAACAGCCTGGGGAGAGTACAGACACTAAGGAGAAAATTAATTGTTTCTGTGGAACTCTGAACATCTTAAAGTATGATGATGAACTAAATATACCCCCTATATGCCATGACCAGCGTACAGTCTTGAAGCTCTCATTCCAGTCCAGATCAAACTTAGTGGCTCCACTGACACCCTGTCAGTCAAGGAGGGAGAGATTTGGGGCCCTCCTCTTTGGTGACTCCAACCGAAGGACCTGCCCTGGTTTGATGTAGATATTCCTGGAACCCTCCCAAGCAAACTTGGGCTCTTGGAAGAACTGGGCCACAAGCTGCCCCTTTAGATCCAGAGACTACCTCAGTTTGAACCTACCTTCCTGGACTGCTCTGGGGTCTGTGAGGTCAGCCTAGACTTGGCCACAGTGACCTGGACCTAAGGCCAGATCAAGGTACCAAGGAGCCTCTCAGCTCAGCTTTTTACTAGTGCTGGAGCCAGAGCCAAAGATAGCCTGATGTCTTCATGTGGCAGTGATGCAGTGTCCCCACCTCCCCTGTGTGCTCAGCTCCCAGGGACTGGAGCTTGGGGTGCCAATGTCCTCCCTGCACCCCAGTACTGACCAGACTGCTGGAAGAGCCCATCCACGCTGAGATCCCACAGAAGATCAAAGGCTCCCGAAGAAGTTTCTGGAGGCCATGTCAGCAGCTAGGAGGAGAAAAGACAGGTTAGCTGGGTCATTCCTATGGAGTGATAGTAGCAAACTTCTATTATTCTGTATTAAATAAATCCTCACAAGTCCATGTGGTAAAAGGATATTGTCATTATTGCCATTTAAAAGATTGGAAACCAAGCTCAGAGAGGTCAAGCCACTCCCTCAAGGTCACACAGCTAGTAAGCAGCAAAGCCAGGGTTCAAGCCCAGGTCTGTGTGACTTGAGACTTCCTACTGCCTCCGCCTCCCTGTGAAGGAGGCTCAGTCCTTCTGACCCTCACTCCCAATGGTCACAGCCATGACCTTCTAGAGCAGGAGCTGATGAAGGGGAGAGAAAGAGCTCCCAAGCACTGACCACAGTCAGCTGGGCAATGACAGGGTAGGCCCATCCCTGTCACTCTTGAATTAGTTCCAGGTCAGTGCCTTAACTTACAGTCATCTGAGACCACTGGCTTGGAAAGCCCTCAGTACTGAGCACAGATCCTCAATCAACCTTGGTGTGGGAGGTCACCCACCTGACTCAAGTTCACTGGGATCCTTCTTTGAATGCCCCGGAGTTCAAGGGTCAAAAGCTGGGGACTTGGAACTTGGAGAAAGCATAACCTGGAGATGAGCAGTGGGCTAGCCCCTGCCCAGAAATGCCAGCTGGTCTGGGGACATAACAGCAAGGCCAGGCCTCAGAGGAGGGGGCCCCTGCCCACGGCTGGCCATGCTGTGCATTATACCATTTCTCCCAAGAATGGTGAGAAGAGCCCAGTGTGGTGGGTGCTGTGGACACACCCCCATTCGAGACTGAGGCTCTTGTTCCCCCAGGGGCTGGGCACTGTTGTTGCTGGAGGCCCTCTCTGGGCGTTGACCTTGGAGGGAGTGCCTGGCACAAGGTCGTGCCCCTCTCCAAGTGCAGCCTGCGTGTGATAACTAGCTGATGCTGGGTCCAAGAGCCTGGACCCCTTGCCTCAGCTGGGCCAATTTTAAAGGGTCACCAGGTTCCAGACCTGCTGTGGGACTGCCTGGAGCCTCTACTGCAATCGCCTGGCCCTCAGTTTCTCCCTTTGCTGCGCCTGCCGCTTTCCCTCCCCCACAGCTATGGCTCCCAAGAGCACTCCCCAGGAAAGCTGAAGAGAAAGCACTGGCTCAGACTCTAGAACTCTGCCTTTCTCCTCCTTTCATAACTTGTAACCTTTTCAGAGTTGAATGCTTGACTATTGCCCAACAAGAGTACAAGTCCACTGAGGGCACGTGCTACCTACTTTTGTCTACCCTCCAGTGGGCTCACATGGCAGGTACACGAGAGCCCTGGTGAAGAGCACTGAGGCCAAAGCCTGTTCACCCACTATATACCCCACCTAAGCCCCTGGGAGGGAGGAGGAGGGCAGGCAGCAGGGCTGAGTCCCCATGAAAAGCCCTGGTGAAGAGCACTGAGGCCAAAGCCTGTTCACCCACTATACACCCCACCTAAGCCCCTGGGAGGGAGGAGGAGGGCAGGCAGCAGGGCTGAGTCCCCATGAAAACTCAGGATGTCCTTTCCAAAGAAAGATGAGCAGAGCTGGAGATGTCTGCCCACCTCACCCACTCCCTAGCTCTTGGAACTGACTCCAAGCACACGTGTGACCTCCACAGCCCTGTGACGCAGCTTACCTAGCTGCCTTTAATTGGACCAGGGGACAATTAACCCCGCGTAGGCCAACCAGATTTTCCTTCCTAGGGATTCAGATTTGGGAACAGGGCCTGGCCTTACTTGGCTGTGAAGCCTGGGCAGGAGAGAGAAACAGAGGCCTTTCCTAGGACCCAGCCCTTCCCCATCCCTGGTTCCAGCTCTTCCTGAGAATCTCCTCTGCATCTTTACAGTCCCCCTGGCGGCTTCAGGAGCCCCTGTGGATTTCTATCTCTGGCAATCAGAGTTCTCACTATCCGCCTGAGTTTCTGAAGTACGCTGAGCACACCACCCAGAAGGCTCTCAAAGCCAAGTGCACCCCTTCCACTAATCTGGCTTTAGCCGTGGTGGGGGCTGGGAGCTTCTGTTTCTCCTTCCTGCAGAGCGTGGGCTGGAACCTTTGTGCCAACATCACCCTTTGCAGCTGTGGCCCAGGCCCTAAGCAGCACCAGGGGGACAAGGCAGTTCACAGGACCTGCTCATTTAAGCCCCACATGGGGCCATCAGCCCCAGCACACAGAGGAAGAAACCAAGGCACATAGCTGAGGCCAACACAGTATCAAGCGGCAAAGCTAAAACTCACACCTGAACTGTGTGGCCTCAGGGTGGGTCCCTGACTCCTCTTTCTGGCCCCCTCTCAGACACACCAACAGAGAAGGCACTCCAGCCGAGTCAGGGTCACACAAGGACCCTCTGTGAGCGATGTCTCAGACAGGCTCTTTGTGGCTCCCGATGGCTGACTGTGCGGTGTCACACGCTGTGCGAGCAGCAGATAGAACTGCACTGATGGAGCCAAAGAATAATGGCCGTACTGTTCCCTGTTCCAGTGGGGCCTGGGGGTGGGGCGGCAGGGGCAGAAGCCGCACACAAGGACCCTGGGAGCTCACGGTGTCTCTTTCCACTGGGCCAGGCAGGAGCAACGTGAAAGAAGCGGGAGGGAAGCAGAGCCGGAGGGCTCTTCCTGGAAGGCGGCCAGACTGCTGAAGCTGAGGAGTTCCTTCAGTAATCCACCCTGCGTGGTGGCTCTGATTTACGGCTGGGGTCCAGGCTCCAACTGGCAGGAATGGGGCCAGCTGGAACTTGTGACCAGCCCCTCCCCAGACAGTGCTGGCCCTGGGTGGGGGCCAAGGCTGGGCGGCACCCTCATGCCGTGCATTCAGATCACAGCATTTGGTTCCTGGGCTGTCCTTGCTGGCTAATCTCTGTCTCTCCCAGTGCAAAGTTGTAAGCCCCAGGCAGAATGCATGTTCCCTCAAGGTGAAATGTTCCAGCAGCAACCAGGAGATAAGAAACCGGGTCAGACAGAGCAACTCTGTTCATGGCTTTTCCAGCTGACCTACAACTGCACAGTGGTAGCCAAAGCTCAAACACCCAAGTACCCTTGGGTCTAAATTCAATAGGGTGCCCACACCTCCAGGGGTGCTGCAGGGCTGCAGTTGGCCCTGAGTGGCCTTCCTGCTGCTTATGTGATGAGGGACCTACAACTGTCGAAAAGAGATGAGTTTTGAGATAATGTCAGTACTTGTTAAGCAGCATGGATCAAATCATGGAGAGGTTAGACCATCAGTCCACTGGGAAAGCTCAGATAGGGCTTCTGGCGGCACAGGCAACACCCTGAGAGGCACACGCTCTGCGGGGAGGGGAAGCAGAGGCTCCCAGGCGGTGCCAGCTCTGTGAGACCACAGGCAGGGCCCTGCACCTCCCTGACTTTGGCACCCTCAGCATTACTGCTCCACCAGCTTTCCTCCCACCTAAGATGAGCCTAGCAGCACCCAAGGCAAGAGGTTAAGTGCCCAGCCCCTCCCGCCAGCAGGCCTGCCACCACGCTCCACAATGCTCCCGCCACCTAGTGGCAGGTCTGTGGTCCTCACCTGGAACAGCCACTGCAGCAGGGGCACCGGGCAGTCAGGCATGTGCAGGTAGAGGTTGCTCAGGAGGCCGCTGTGCAGGAAGGAGAGCTGCTGGGCTGGTGGTGCGCTGTGGGGCAGAGGGGCGAGGTGAGGGGGGCTGCCGTGCTGGCAGCCCCTTGGCAAGCCTGTCTCAGTAATGCTGCGGGAGACTGGCGTTTCTCAACTTTACCAGAATGCTGTAGAGCACATCCATAGCACCGTGGACGAATGTGCTTTTAGAGCCTCCGATGTGAGGAACTGTCAGACGGAAAAATGGCCACGCCATCAACAGAGTCATTTGCTTTTCTCAAGTGCTTTCCATGAACATACCTCACAGTGTTTTAAACTCATGACATTGTGCTCTTTCCATTTGGTGGAGGGGGACAACAAGGTGTCTACCAAGGGAATGAAAAGAATCTGTGGCCAGGTGAGGTGAGAACCCAGGAGTCCAGCACCTTAGCCTTGGGCTCCAGGCCGCAAGGGGTGGACAGGATTACTGGCAAGGCTGCGGCCAGCGTCTCAGGGTCTTGTTACACACAGCATTCCTGCCCCGGCTTGTGTTTTCCCAACACAAAAGGGACACCTGAGAAGATGGGGAAATAACAGAAAGGGGCCTGGGGCAGGGAAATTGTGGGAAGGAAAAATCAAACGAGGGTTCCAAAGAGGATTTTCCAGAAACCACGTGAATAGCAAATGTCCCAGAGTCAAGGGGAGTGGCACTGAGACTGGCCACTTGCCTGTGGCCATAACCTGCATGTCCATTCATGTCATCCTGCTGGGCCTCTCCTCCTGACAAGAGCTCTCAGAATCAGACTGCTGGTGTGGAGAGGAGCCCTGCCTCGAGTATATCGTCGCCCTGATAGATCACCTTGACCTACAGGTAAATATTTCATGTGTTGTAGGGCCTCTGGTGGAAGATGCTTCTGAAGTCATTTCATAGGGGCTGGCTGGACTTTGTCACCCTTACTGAACTCGAGGCCATCCCCAGAGAGACTGGGTTTGGGTTAGGATTCTCCTACTCTCCATGCATTTGGTAATTGCTCCTTTGCTTGCTCTCTCCAGATAATGTCCCAAAGATAATTAATATGGATTCCAGGAAACAAAAAAGTAATTTTATGTTTGTTCTTTTTAATGGCCAAATCCATGCAAAAGCCATTTCAGATAGTTTTTAATGTCATGACCCTAGATAGAAATTTGCTCGGTCAGCCCAAGCTCCACCTCCTCCTATTTTAAAAGGACATCATACTTTAATCTGCCAGGAACAGAATGCTCCATAACAAAGATTCTCCTCTGAGCCAAGCTGCTGTCTCCCTGAGTAAGTCCAGGCAATTTACAAATTGTATGTTTTTCTCCTAAGTCATTTAAGTTCAGAGGAGAAAGCAGCTTTGTTCTGTGGTTGTGAAGTATACTGCTCTAAAACAGACCTTTATTTGCACATACAAACACATGTGCACCCCAGGGCTGCTGGCACACTCTGCTCTATTCCACGTGCCCAGTCACACGGATACTTTCATGGACTGACCCCGAGATGAGTGATTCAAGCACACACACAGTACCCTGAGCGCAGACAATACCCCAGCAAACAATGTCTGCTGGACCTTGCAAATTGGCAGGATCCTGCCAGAGGCCATGTGGCAAGGAGGCCAGTGCTCTGGGGACTCTGAAGAGACTTTGGCTCTGGCATTCTGCTGGGAGGGGGCACCTTGCCAGTTTCTCAGTGGGGGAATTGACTGTACAAGCCCCTGTTGGCTCAGATCAACACATTTCCAGTGCTGCTCTGAGGGAGAGACACCTTCGGGTTGCAGCATCTCCTGCTGCTGCGCCAGCCCTGCAGCGCAGTTTCTGACAGAGAAACAATCAGTCTGCCTTCGAGTTCACTGCTGCTGAGTTAGTTTTCATCCATAAGACCAGAAGCAAGACAGCCAGAAAGGGCACAGCCCTGCTCTGCCTTGGGATGAATAGCTTTCAAGGAATTCTGTGTCTCCAGAGAAATGAGATGGAAGGAATCTCCTCTGCAGGCTGGATCATGAGCTGAGTGTGTGTACTCGACATGAGGGGAAACTGTTTTCCTCTGCTAAACCATGAGCCCTTCCATGCTGTTCATGATGGCACAAGGAAATCTCGAGTGTGGGGGCCACAGGGCAGGGAATGGGCCTCAAGTACAGACACTGCCCTGACTCTGGGATAGGAGGAAGAGTCCCCACAGCAGCACCCCAATGGGGAAGCCTGTAGGAAAAGGGCAGGGGATGGAGGAGGTGTGTGCAGTGAAAGATCAAAAAACCTTGGGCTATAGAATCAATTGCTGTCAGATTTACAAAAAACCCATGTCATATCTCCACATCAAGAATGCTGATGCTGGGTCCAAGTGGGTGCCTTTGCCTGTGGCCAAGCCAACGCTGAGGTCAGAAGTTATCCTAAGAATGTCAGAGGACCCTGCAGCCAGAAGGGGTGGGACAGGGCCTCCCTCAGCAGCAGATGCCATGTAGGCCTGGCTGAGCTCGAAGCCCCCAACTGTCAACCCTGAGGATCCCATTGAAGGAAGGTTCCTGCTTGGGTTTCTCAGCCATGTTTGGAAATGAGAGAAGGACAGGGAGCAGCCACAGTCAGAACACTGCTAATCTCCAGCTACGATGGCAATGACAGCAGGCAGGGGTCTGCTTTCACCCTCATCACCCTCTGGAACAAAAGGAAGGAAGGGAGAGAAAATCAGCCTAAAAGGGGGAAAGACACAAAACAAGTAGACAACAAACAGGGGACCAGCCTGGGTCAGCACGTTGGGCTCTAGAGCAGACTCCAACCTTCTCCTTCCAGCTTCTACCTCCTCTATTTTATGGGCAGCAGTCCCAGAGGGCAAAGTCTCTAAATGCCTTGGGAATCCCAAGTGATGGCAAAGGGATAAACACCAAGTGTAGTTATTTATATAGTATCAGCTTCTGGGCTTTTGCCAAGTTATTCAAATGAAAGTTTTAATAAAATGACTAAGCAGGACAAAAACAAGTATTGGTCAAATCTTTCACCAGTGCCCCTCTTCTTTTTCTCTACTTTCTTTGTTAAAAGATAAGCGAGTGCCACCCGGTCAGCAGCCGGGGTCCCAGCAACAGCCCAGCTTGCTGCCTCCACTTGCCCTCTATTCTCAGGGGCAGTTGCGGCCATTTGGACAGCTCAGGCCTATCCACACTCCATAATAGCCAAATTTATTTCATCTGGGCTTCAACCCTGGCATCTTCTCCAGGAAAAGGAGGAGCTCGTGACAAAACAAGAGCTGGGGCTGCACAAGCGCCATTTAAGGTGACGAAGCTGAGACCCACCTCCTACTTTCCCCAGCCTGCTACAGTATTCACGCGAGTACTCAGCCCCTGGAGCTTCCTGCAAGCAGCCCGCATTCACAGAAATAGTGGCAGATACCCCAGAGGAACATGCAAACACCTGGGGGGCCTATGAATAATTCAGGAGGGCCCGCACCTCTACCCTTCTGATGGAGCTGGCTTCTGACACTCAGCTCTCCACTCAGGAGGATCGGGTTTCATTTTGAACTGCTGTCAAGGGAGGAGAGAAAAGTTCAGCTCCTGGAATCAGCTGGTACCAACTTTTGTCATAAAGACATGTGACTTTGGTCCCAGGGAACTGACCCGAGGTCACACATCCAGCCCAGTGATGGGCAAGAGAGGGTCATCTGGGCCACCTCCAGTCACACGGCTGGGGCGGGGAAGGAGCATTCGTGCACATAAATGTGTGTAGGTCCAATTGGGAGGCCACTTTGGCTGAGCCACCAAGTCGCCTGCACTTGCTCTGTGAACTGAGACAAACTGCTTGCTTAGTCTGTGCCGACATTTCCCAGCTTGTTCAGAGGGAAGAAAGGTATTTTCTCCACAGTAGGGGTAAGGAGAAGCGAATCTATTTCAAAAGGTGATTTAAAAAAAAACAGCATTCACTTTTTTCCCCTCTAATGGTAAAAATGATACATGTTCATTGCAGAAAATTTGGAAAATACAGGGTAGTATAAAAAGGAAAATAAAAAACTATTAGCTCACAAAGTGTTAACTTTTTGTATGAACTGACTGCTTCTTAAGAGATCCAGCCACCTTGCCGCCCTCCATGGCCAGGTTTCTGTGAATACACTGGGGTCATTATTGAACGACTAGTACTTCCCACTCTTGTGTCTGGACTTGAACTCCTTGGCACAAACAGGAAATGAAAGATGACCCATGGCTAAATGGTGACCTCCAGGAAGTGGCCCTTATGACCGCCCAGCAGGAGCCCCTGACTGTGTCTCGCAGCAGGCATTCCTCTAGAAAGCCACATGTAGATTCTCAAAGCCACAGCTCTGAGATGCTGGCAAGGCCACCTCCACTGTACCTCATTAGCATATCGGAGGGAAAAGGGTCTGAATTCCTCACTCCGGGGAAGCTGTCCAGCCACCTGGCCTCACTTGGCAGGGCCACTGCGATCCCAGGTCACTGCTCTGCGGGCCGTATCATCTGTCAAACACTTCCTGCCTGCCATGCAGTCTGGGACAGAAAACCTGCTGTCGTGCACACCCCAGGCCAAAGCAGCGCAGGGAGAGGCCTTCCTTTCTCCTCTCTCGTCCACTCGACTCCTGCCCAGCCTGTTCTTTGTCCCTCTCCTTTCTCCAATTCCACTATCCTTCTTTTTCCTTTGTTCTCCTTTTTCCTTTTTCATCATCTCTTCATGAGACACCTTTTCAATAGGGCAATGTGAATCCTTACTATTTTTCATACACGCAGGCCCAATACTCTCGCATCATTGTTTAGGAACATAGTCTAGACTTCCAGAAAATATTTATGTGTAAGAATATTCTCCACCACAAAAGGAAGAAAAAAAAAAAGAATATTCTCCACCACATTGTTTATAACAGAGAAAAGCTGGAAATAATGTATGTGTCCAAAAAAGATGAGAAAAACGGTTAAATATGTTAGGGTATCAGTGCAATGCAGTATTATTTCACCATTAACATGATACAGGGTACTTCAAAAGTTCAAGAAAATACTCATAATATCTTTTAATTCTATTTTTTCGTGAACTTTTTGAAGTACCCTTGCATTACCCAACCACAATGTTTGGACCTTGTTCAGATCCTGATTTGAACAACCTATAAAAAATGCTTATAAGACCACTGAAGTCTGAACACTGACTGATATTAATAAAATTAATAAATTACTGTTTTTTAGGTATAATAATAATGGTTTGAAGTTATGTTTAAAAACAGAATCCTATGTTTTAGAGACACAAACTGAAATATTTACGGGTTAAATTATATGTGTCTGGGATTTGCTTCAAAGCAGTCCTGGTGGGGATTGTTAGCAGGCAGGGGAAACAAGACTGGTTTTGAGTTCGTTGTCACTGAAGCTGAACAATGGTTGCATGACGGTATGTTATACTGTTCTCTCTTCTTTTATATATGCATACAACTTCCCGTGATAAAAGTTTTTAAAGGAAACATCAAAATGTAATCTTTATGTTACAAAATAAGATGGAGTTAGAATTAATGAAATAAATGTAAGAAAGCCCTGAATAGCTGGAATAGACAGCAAGACTCCCCTGTTCAAGTCCTAGCGTGGCTGAAGAGACCACAGAAGCAAGCTACCCTCTGTGCTCCTTACAGGCGGGCAGTGGGCAAGGGTGGCCCCTTCTCTATCCCCTTGGCCTCCGCCCTGCAAGGCAACTGCCACGTGAGCACCCAGCAGGTGGTTGCTACACAAGATCCTGCGGGTTTTTTCTTTCTCTTATTCTTGGATATATTACCTCACAATTGCAAGTGTTGGATATGATTGTGGCGAGTCTTTTAAAAATTACCTTAAAGTCTCCCAGGAACCTGGTGTTGTCTTTTAACACTTGAGTTATATTTATTGAAATGATGACATGCTGTAATCAGTGCATCGATGCTCAGCAAACCAGGTGCACGTCTGCATGAGACGTTGTGGGAAGACTGTCTGTTGGAACATTAACTCCAGATTTCCTGACTTATATGTGATGAAGATATCCAACCCAACATGGAGTTAAACCAATATCAAAAGCAAGTGGGAAAAACAAAAGCATTGCTTTTTGGAAGACAAATGTCGTGTCAACAATACTAGGGAATTTCCTTATTTGTAATCCTTTGGTCTGATACGGATTCATTCATTTTTCTAGTTCCACTATAATAAATAAAGCATTTCTTTTTTCTTTTTTTTTTTTTTAAAGGATCCGAACCCGTGGCCTTGGTGCTATCAGCACCGCACTCTACCGAGTGAGCCACAGGCCGGCCCGTAAATAAAGCATTTCATATGCTGAAATAAACTGTAAAAAAAAAAAAATCCCCTTAAAAAGCAACAGTCAGTGGTTATGTGATAATGATCACGAATTTATTCCCAAAAAGAAAGAGAACAAGGGAGCTGTCCTATTGTTATACACAGTGTACTGTGGCTGGCGACAAACTTTTCAGTGCAGGCATCACACACAGACTGAAGTGTGGTGTCTCCGACAAATAGATGGAAATGACCTTCATACAACCTGGATAGCCCAGAAAGTGGCATCAGTGTTGATGGAGACACAGCCCCAAGGCCACACATGACAAGTCTAACTCAAGTTGTTCCGTGAAACTGGGCATGGGGGCGGAAAAGCAAATATGAACATGGAAATGCACCACCAGATATTTATTATAATGTAGGATTTTTTAAAGTATGTGTATCAAAGTTAGTAAATGAAATATTATAAATAGACATGTGTGATTATGTCCTTAAAAGCTGACATATCCAAACTGGCTCCTGGAATTTCCTCCTTGGAAGTGGCCCTCATCCCTGGGTTTCAGGAGGGAGGGGACCTGGCCAGGCTGTGTTGCCCGATTCCACCTACCCTGCACGCACTTACCTGAGGAAGAGCCCTTCCAGGTGGCTGTGTGGCTTGAGGTGTGAACAGTCCAGGATGCATGGCAGGGGGTGATGCCTGAGCAGAAACACAGTCTCGCCTGGATGTACTGGCGGGATGTCCTGCATTGACATGGAGAACCTCTCCACCAGCATCCTGGCAAAGCAAAGGCAGGAAAGCCGGGCGTCAGCAGGTGCACCTGGATCTGCTGCATGGAGGGAGGAAGACCTGGGAAGGTCAGGTGGGAGCAGGTGCTCCCTGCACTGTGGTCCCGCTGCAGACCAGGGGGGACAGTGCCACCTGCTGATGGAGGAAGAGCTCATCAGATGCAGACTAAGGAGCCCTTTGCTCTCCCACTCCGTGGATATGCAACAATCCCTCCCTCTGGGCTCTAGTCCAGGGCCCTGATCTGAGCCCCAGCTCCACACACTGGCTCTGTTCAGGTCAAACTTTCACTGTGTATCTATGATGCCAGGTGCTGAAGGATGAGTCAGGCATGGGCCGCCCAGGAAAAGTGTAAACAAATCACTGCAATATCCTCTGGCAAGTGGACAGAGGGGCCTACATGGTGCTGCCAGGAGTGGAGGAGAGAAATGCTGGGTGCAGCCAGGGTCAGGGCCGGTGTCCTAGAAGGGGCGAGGATGTGCAGGCTGAGGGGGCAGCGCAGGCATGGGTAGAAGCACGAGGCAGCAGGCAGGTCTCAATGCCAGATGAAGGCGCATGGACTCTTCCTCAGGGCCAGCAGTCCTCAAGCTCCAGTGGTCATGAAGACAACCCAGGGAGCCTGCTGAAATGCAGATCCCTAGGCCCTGCCCTGCCCCAGAGGGAAGGAACAGGAAGAAGAAGAGGGGATGTTTCAATTCCATCAGGGAGGAGTAAAAACTGTCAGAACTTTATGACCCACTGGAATGGGGATGGGGAAAAGGGAGGTAGATAAGACACGATGAGGGACTGGCATGGACACTTGACCCAGCATGTCGGTGGGTGAACATAGCAAGTGGAAGAACAGGATGTGTGTGTGTGTACCTATATACATGAACGCACACAGACATACTGAGACACGCGTCACACAAACCCCCCTACCACGATACACCAAACTATGATCTAGAGTCATTTCCTAGGGAACGGAATTAGGGGGAAGGAGACATTTCCTGTTTATTTCATGTTACTGTGCTCTGCTTGATTTTGTAGCAGTATAACACACATTTAACAATAACAAAATAAAACAAGTTCCAGATACTGCCTCCCCTCATCTGACCAGAAGACAGACCATACACAGCTTCATAGCCAGGCCCATGGTCTGAGACAGCAAACCCAGGGGAGGAACAGCCCGTAGCTCCCGTTAGGATCTGGGACATGTGCAGTGGGCACTGGCAGTGAAGTGGTGCAATCTTGGGCCCCACCAGCCAGCCACAAGGACTCTTTCTCACTTTTTAGCCAAATGACCCAAGGTAAGGCCCCAACTGGCATCACAGGGCTGTCCTGGGGATGAAATGTCACAAAGAATGGGAGCGACATTGGAAAACTGGGAAGATTCTAATCCTGTAGGCTTTTGGAAAGTCTCAGCAAACCACCACACAAATGGTAAAATAATTTTCTTTTTTGTTCACATTTCTGCTGTTAGAGTTTTGTGAGTATCTACTGCTTCTTATGTTGTTTTTGCAGTTAGAAAAAATGTACAAATTATTCAAAGTCTGTAAGAACTAGGCTCATCTATAATGGGACCTAGCCCTGTTGTTCAAAGGGACTTCTGTGATAGTAACTATAATGTATGTGCATTATTAAGAGTTCTGAGATGACTCTTACACATCTAATTGAGGATTTCCTGTTCAGCCTAGAACTGAGGATAAAGAATGATGTTGTGGTTTAAATATATCTGCCGCTCCCCCCACCCCAGCACACACATGAGGTCTTTCAACTTTAAGAAATAGAGAATTTAGGATGCTGTCTATTGAAGACGCAAGCTAATTCTTAGAGCATGAGCAGATACTCTGCTCAGGATAATCCAGGGTCCTTTCGACAACGGGCAGTTGTGGCAACTGTATGATGCCTTGTCTGGCAGATGGTGACTAGCCCCACCCTCAGCCTCCCTGCTTCCATACTTGCACCCCCAGCCCTTGCCCCCACTGCTTCCCCCGGCCCCATTCATGGATGGCAGAGGCTGGTGGCTTTGTACATCAGTAATTTTTTTCAAAGCAGCAAGTTGAACAGTCCTATCAAAATGATCCCACATCAAAACAACCACCTCAAAGTGGCTGTCGTCAAAGAGGCATTCTAAAAGCACAACTGGAAGACGTCATGCACCCAGAAAACTCTCAGTGATTTCAAAGCCAGGAGTACCTTCTGCCTTAAGCTGGTGCCACTGATGACTCCCTTTCTGTGAGGAATTTCAAAACCTCCAAGCCTAACTTCTGGAATCCTGGATGTCTCAGCAGAAAGGTAGAGCTAGAGGTAGTATTCTTGCTGCAGAGATTTTAAAAAGGGCCTAAAAGGTTTAATTCCAATGCTAGCTATTCAGTGAGTGGAAACTCTGGAAACCCAGACCACAAGCCTCACTCAGAAAGAAAACTGCCTCCATCACGTGGAACACCACCACAGCATTCCGGGTGAGGGAGGACTTTGGCCCCAAATACACTGATTCAATTCAGTCTTCTTGCTATACCACATCCATCCAAACGCTTCCTGAGATGGACAGGAACCAGCACCTGCCCAGCACGTGGGTGGGTGAGGGAGGACTTTGGCCCCAAATACACTGATTCAATTCAGTCTTCTTGCTCTACCACATCCATCCAAACGCTTCCTGAGATGGACAGGAACCAGCACCTGCCCAGCACGTGGGAATCAGCATGCAACTTCACAGCAACCTTCCGTGGATCTCTGGGCAGTGTGCGTGAAACTCCCTCTGTCTATCTGGGATGGCTGTTCAAATCTTAGCACATTCCCAGATTTCATAGCAATCAGGGAGTGGGTGTCCTCAGTCTGCAGGCCCACTCTTGCTCATTGCCTATTTCTGTATACAAGGCTTTACTGTGACACAGCCAGGCACATCCACTGACCTACTGTCTGCAGGAGCTCTTAACCTGCAGCAGTACAGCTGAGTAGTGGTGACCCTCAAGCCTAAAAGATTTACCACCTATGTACAAACTTTACAAAAAAAGTTTACTGATCCCTGATCTAGTCAAAAGATGATTAACAGCAAAATCTGAGAAAAAGGCAAATGGCCAGCCAAGGTGTTGCTCATAATCATCTCTGAGCAACCACAACAGTGTAAATCATTTGGGGATCCTAAAAGCAGGGGCCCCTGAGGAAGTCTGTATGTTGTCACTCAACAATCCCTTAGGAAGTGAATACAGAACGCTAACTTAGGACGTGCATCAAAGCTTCAGCAAGCACTGCTAAATCATATAACTCAGGCCTACAGAATGAGCCAAGCCTGGATAGCAGCCCAGCCAGGACGTGTCGATGGACCCACCGCCAGCCATATGGCTCCTCTCCTACAGCCCACCGTCCCCTCTTGGGCACATGGTTCCTGAAGATCCCCTCCGTCCCCCAACATCAGTTCCCCCCTGTCCTGGGTCATTCCTATTAGCATACAAACATGCTGTTCCTTCCTCCATAAGAGAAAGAGGAAGAGAAACAGAGAGAGAAAGACAAGCAGAAAGACAGAAAGGAAGAAACCAACCAACCTATCCGGACCCCACGTCTCTCTTCAGCTGCTGCCCGTCTTCTCTTTTGTCCTCTCCTCCTCTTCTCCCATGAACCTATTCAGTCAGATTCGTCCCCAGCAGCCTGTGAGAGCTGCCCTTGTCAAGGTCATCGTGAGCCCCGAGTTGCCAGTGGTCCCCGTGCTTGGCCCCCAGCACTCCGGCAACTGCTTCTCCTCTGACCTGCTCGGTCTCCTTTGCTGCTTCCTCCCCGTGGCCCCCACGTGCGGTGAGCCCCGAGTTGCCAGTGGTCCCCGTGCTTGGCCCCCAGCACTCCGGCAGCTGCTTCTCCTCTGACCTGCTCGGTCTCCTTTGCTGCTTCCTCCCCGTGGCCCCCACGTGCGTGGGCCCTGTGCCCTAAGCCCCTGCTTTTCTTCTCTATTTGCTGCAAGGGCGATCTTGCCCAGTTTTGTGGCTTTAAATATCATCTACACACAGTGACTCCCTGGCTTGCCTCTCTAGGTGTCTGAGCTGCCTACCTGATCTCACTCCTAGGATTCCCTAAATGAACTCTTGATCCTGCATCACTAGGTCTTCCCCAATTTAAGACAACTCCAACCTTCCAGTTGCTCAGGACCAAACCCCTGCGATCCCCTTTGATTCCTCTCTTTCTCTCATACCCTCCATCCAGTTTATCACCAAATCCTGTTAGCTCCACCCTGAAAACATACCCAGAACTTGCCTGCTTCTCACCGCCTGCCCCCACCCCCAAGCATGGTTGTTTCTCCTGGATTACTGCTGTGGCATCCTCTGCCCCCTTGTCCCCCTCTTCTGCCCTTGCCCCCCATGCCTCACTAGTCTATTGTCAACACAGGAGCCAGAGGATCCTGTTCAATGAGCAGTGGCCAGCTAGCTCCGAGGAAAAGCTCTGGCACCCACCCTTAGCCTCCCTGAACTTCTGCCCCTCTACTCGCCCCCTCCTTGCCACTTCCCAACAGCAGGCATGCTCCCACTGCAGGGCCCCCCTGGAGTTGGCTCTCACCTCCTTCAGGCTCTGCTCAAAAGTCGCCTGCTCACGGAGGCCTTCCCTGACCCCTCATCCAAAATCTCGCACCCTCCCACAACTCCTCATGCCTCCTCCCCCAATTTTAGCCTTCCTCGTGAGCATGTTATATAGCTTCATTTATCTTGTTTGCTGTTTGTCTCCCTGACCTGAAAGCCAGCCATGTGGGGGCAGAAGCTGTTGGTTTTGTGCCTGCTATATCCTCAGAGGCTGTAACAAAGCCTGGCATTTACTTCGCACTCAGTAAACATTTCTTGGATGGATGGAATGATGGACCGATGGACAGATGAATAGATGGATGAGTGGTATTATAGACCAAATGCTTGTGTCCCCCCAAAATTCATATGTTGAAATCCCAATCCCCAAGGTGATGGTATTAGGAGGTGGGGCCTTCAGAGGCGTTTAGATCATGAGGGTGGAGCCTCGTGAATGCAATTAGGGCCCTTATTATTTTTTTTTTTTAGAAGATGACCGGTAAGGGGATCTTAACCCTTGACTTGGTGTTGTCAGCACCACGCTCAGCCAGTGAGCAAACCGGCCATCCCTATGTGGGATCCGAACCCGGGGCCTTGGTGTTATCAGCACCGCACTCTACCGAGTGAGCCACGGGCCGGCCCACAATTAGGGCCCCTATAAAAGAGGTCCCCGAGAGCTCCCTTGCCTCTTTCCACCACGTGAGGACATACAAGAAGACGGCAGTTTGCAACCCCGGCCCTCACCGGAACCCAACCATACTGGCACCCTGATCTCAAACTTCCAGCCTCCAGAACTGTGAGAAATAGATTTCTGTTGTTTATATGCCACCAAGTCTATGGTACTTTGTTATAGCAGCCAAAACAGACTAAGACAGATGGAAAACAGTGTACCCTGAAGATGGGTTTAATTGTGGTCCCTGGGTGTCTCTGAGACCCTGTCGTACAGATGAATCCAGCCCTCCCTCTAGCCAACGAACCAATTAAGTCAGGGCCAGCATAGCTCCCACCCAGGTGACAGCACCGATAGAGCCACCTTCTTTCTCCAAACAGGGAAAGATGAAAAATGTCACATGGCTGTAATCACCCCTTGAAAAGCAGTTTTCATTTAGGCTGTGGTTTTGTGTATTTTCCCAAGAGATCTGATTCTATAAATTGGGCAGATAATTGGGGCAGGGCAGGCTGGGTCTTATGATCTCTGGGTCTTCAAAGACCCAGACTAGATCCTGGTGCACAGTAGGTGATTGGATATTTCTCAAGTCAATGACTGAAATGTGGCTTTAAGAGAAGGAGGCAGCTTTAGAACTCATAAGTGGTACGCAAATTGCTGGTTGAAACTGTCCAAAACCCGACAGCAGGTTGGCACTGAAATCTTTCCCCTTCAGAAAAGACTGGGCCCTTGCCCCCTCACCTGTGCTCGGGTGTGAGTGGCACTTCATCTTCATCAAGACCCAAGGAGTTGAGACCAGGACAGTCCTGCAGAAGTAGCTTCTCTCGCTCCTGCTCCAGGGCCTGCTCCCTGTGGGGAGACAAGAGCCAAAGCCAGGGGTCAGTGCTGTTCCTGGCCATCCAGCTCTGTCCCCGGGCTTCAAAGATCCCCACGAACAAGCAAGTCCTAGGAACTGGGAGGCAGCATCACTCTGGCCTCCCTGCACAAAGGCTCTCAAATTTAGATGGTAGGGGGCCTGCATTGCATTGATTGCACTGTCTCCAAATGATGACAGTGGAGAAGGCTGGCCTGAAGGATGACTTTCACCACACAACTTGAAACGTGTCTTTATTTGTGTGCCTTATTTCGGCATTTGCTCATTTATTAACACACTGAAGCCTAGGCCTTCTATTCCTGCCGGAGCCCGGCCACATGACCAGGAGAGGACCCTGGTTCCTCAGCGTCTCTGATGCGCCACCTTACCCTGCAGCTCCTGCTCATCCTCCTACTCGCCCATGGCGGCCTAGAGCCTCCCTTTTCTCTGGCCTGCTCCAGCGTCTCACTTCCTTTTTCAGATGGCCCCCTGTGAGCCCACCATGATTTTGCTGAAGCCCTGACCCCTCGCCTCCTCCTGCCCTAACCAGGCTGCTGAGGGAACCCTGGGAGCCTCCCCAACCCCCGAAAGGCCCCTCCAGGTAATCACCCTGGCTGTGCCCACAGGTCCTCAGTTCTCAAATATTTTATCTCCAGCCCAGGCCCCTGTCTCGAGCTCAGATCCTCCTGGCCAGCCACTAACTGGATGATTCCCAGCTGTGACCAGACCCCTCTGATGCCACGTGTCCACCACAGGCCCCAGTGTCCCAGCCACCCAGGCCATCAGCCCCATCAAGAGCCCCATCAGCTCCTCCCAGAGGCCTCCTAGGTATGAACCTTGACTCAGGCCCCACCTCAGCCCCTCATCACTGTTCCTCTCTCCCCCTTCCCATCCATTCTCCAAAGGTACTCTGAGAGACCTTCCTTAAACATGTAGGAAAACATTTCTGCTTGCTTAACATTCTCCCATGATCTGACCTCCTGTTCACGAGGCCCCTTGTGATCCAGTCCCCATGCACATCTCAGCTGCATCTCCTGCTATGCCCTTCCTACCCCTCAGCACCAAGCCAGGACAGCATGGTCTGCCCTACCTGCCTTTACACATGTGCTCACCCCCCACCTTCCCCCCCCAAATTTCTTATCCTGCAAGGTTCAAGGATAAGGATACCTCTGGGGAGCCTTTTCTGACCTCCAGGTTAATTTTGGTGCCACTATTCCGGACCCCTCTGTAGTAACTTTGGATCATAGGAAATACTAGAATCATTATGTTAAATTTCCAGGTGAGCAGGGACTGCACCATCAGCTCCATTACCCAGTACCTGGACTCAGTGTGATATGGACTGAATGTTTGTGTTGCTCCAAAATATTCATAAATTGAAGCGTTAACCCTAAGTGTAGCTGTATTTGGAGTAAGGAATTAATTAAGGGTAGAGCCCTGACTTAACAGTGGCCTTTCATAAGAAAAGACACCAGAGAGCTTGCTGTCTCGGCCATGTGAGGAACCAGCAAGAAGGTGGCCAACTATAAGCCAGAGAAAGGTATAAGCCAGAAAAAGGGCGTCACCAAGAACCCAATCAGCCATAGCCTTGATCTGGGACTTCCAGCCTCCAGAACTGCTAGAAAAAAATGTCTGTTGTTTAAGCTACACAGTGTGTGGTATTTTGTTATGGCAGCCTGAGCTATAAGCCAGAGAAAGGGCGTCACCAAGAACCCAATCAGCCATAGCCTTGATCTGGGACTTCCAGCCTCCAGAACTGTTAGAAAAAAATGTCTGTTGTTTAAGCTACACAGTGTGTGGTATTTTGTTATGGCAGCCTGAGCGGACAAAGAGCAGGAACCTCCCCATGCCAGGCACACTGATGACCAGGCACAACGGTTCCCCACAATCTTTCATTTTACTGACAACATTTTCAAGCATTTTCTAAACTTACAGCACCGTGTTGGGTACTGCGGCAACATAGAGACATAGTCTCTTCCCTAACTGACAATCCACTTGGAAGAAAATATACTCAGGGGAAGGAGTTAAACAACAAAAGTCCTGGGATATTAAGAGCCAGAGGAGCTGTATGGGGGAGGGAGATGAGATGCCTCTGGGGAGGGCCAGGGGGCCAGAGACAACAGACAAGAACAGAGCAAACAATAATTTGCCCCATAGGTTTGTGTAACTCCCTTCTGTGGGCAAGAACACAGGCAGGGAACTCTGGGAAAGTAGAGCCGAGTGAGCATCAGTCCTCCCAGCAGGAGAAGCGAGGTGAGAACCCAACTGTTTCAACAGCAGCATGCCCCTATCTACACTTAACTTCTGCAAATGTGTTGTACACGTACTAAGCTGAAATGACAAAACAAAACAACAGAGCAGAGAGGACAAAGAACACAGGCAGTGTGAGCAATCTGCTCACATGCCATCAAAGAGCATGCCCTGGTGAAGACAACCCCGCACACGGGCAGGCTGTTTGCCAACCTTCTCGCAGAGTGAACAGCCTCCTGTGTGCAGCAGGAGTCTGGTATATTCACCCAAAATGGCCCCTGATGCAAGCCAACCACTCCACTAGGCATTCAACTGAAGAGAACACCATCTGCACCTCCCTAGGCATTTCCAATTCTAATTGGATGCGATTTTTGCCTTCAGTGCAGCCTTTAGAAACTGCTGAGGGTAGAAAGGGACAAAGCTAGTTAGAAGGTAGCTGAAAAACTAACTCCTACATGAGCTATGATGCTACTGTAACAGCAAGGAGAAGGCAGGTGTGAAAGATACACAGCAGGGGCCCAGAGCTTCATGCCTTGGAGACGCCACCGTAGGGCCTGGCTACGGTTCCACATGCTCGTTATTCATCAGAGCATGCAGAACACGCTATGTCTGAGTGGGAAGGCTGCTTGATTCTGACATGAATTTGCTGTGAATCCTGAAACTGGTGCCAACCCCACAGATATGAACACCCCGGGAGGATCCTTTCCTGTACTCACCTCTTCTCCTGCAGTAAGTAATCTAAGTTGTTGACGTAACTTTCTGAGCCCCTGGAGGTGAGCTGGAGAAATAGGACATGGGAATGTGGAACAAAAAGAAAGACAGAGGGAAAAAAGAAAAAAATTTAATCTAAATTCATTCATTCATTCATTCATTCATTCATTCATTCATTCATTCATTTGGTGCTGGCCAGTACTAGGATCCAAACTATGACCTTGGTGTTGTAAGGCTACGCTCTACCTTTATTTATTCTGTTTACTTTTCTGAATAGGTAATACATCCACATGATTAAAAAATCAAAAAGTATAAAAGCGTACAGAAAAACGCCTCCCCCTCACCTCCATCCCCGGCCACCAAGTTCCCTCCCCACAGGTGACCACAGGGTGGGCAGTCCCTGTGTATTTCAGAGGTATGTGATACACAGACAAGCAAACCACAATATACTGTGGATTCCCCCCACAACACAAACAGTATATTACTATACGCCCTGTCCTGCACTTTGCTCTTTTCAATTAACAGTATATCTTGAGGATCATTCCACATCAATGCCAAAGAGATTCTTTCTTTCTTTCATATTTTCAGGGAATTCTGATATATGACTAGAACACAATTTATTTTATTAGTTCCCTAGTGGTGGACATTTAGGTTATTGACAATCTTAGGCTACTACAAATAATTGAAGCCCTATTCTTAGAATAAATTTTCTGGATCTATTATGGGCTCTTCAATGTCCCCACAGTCTACCTCACAATAGTCATTTGTTCCCAATTTGAAGTTCATCACTGCAGTTCCATTTAGGAATCCTGATCCACTGGACCAAAGTCAGCCCGAGTCTTTGGGCCTGACCAAGATCAGATCCTGGCACTGAGGTCCTTCCTTGCTCTAGGGCCATAATCCCAACCTTAGTCATGAAAGCTTTGAGGGCCCCATGCAGAACTGTTGTCAAATTTTGTGTCACCACCAAGCCATCTGTTAGCAGGAGTTAGGAGTGGGAAAAATGGAAGAGGTGCAGCCGGCCCTGAGGGCCCATGTGCCCAGCCATGAGGGCCTGAGACCTGAGGAGAGGCCGGGGATATGAGGCTGAGGAAGGATGGTCAAGTTGAAGTGGCTGAAGAGGGCAGGTGGGCATGGCTGAGGAGGCGGCAGCCAAAAAGGGGTGGCCTATAGATGACTAAGAAGGGGTAGCCAAAGAGGGGTGGCCAAGGTGAGGAGGCCAAGGGGTGGTCACTGGCTTACCGAGGTGCTGGCATCCACCTCTGGGGCCGTGGCCTGCAGGGTCGGGCCTGCCATGTTCCAGAACAGCTCCTCGAGTGAGTCCAGGCTCTCATTGGGGTCTGAGTCCAGGGGCTCCTGCTCCAACTCCTTGGGTGGCCACTGAGCTGGTCTCATCAGGCCCTGGGGGCCCACCTCACCCACACACCTCTGGGCTGTGGCCTCCTGGCCAACCTGCAGTACCCCTGGGATCAGGAACTCTACAGGCGGTGGGCTCCAGTTGGTGGGGAACACGTCTCTGGCTGCCTGCATCTTGGGTTTCTTCCGCAATTTGGGAGTTGGAGCTGAGGTAGGGCTGCAGAGCCGCCGGGCGGGCCGGGGGAGCCCCTGTTGCAGGGGATCGTTGAAGAAGCTGAGTTTCAGCTTGGGCAAGAGGATGGGCACAGTGGTGGCTGACTGGACCCCTGTGGATGAGACAGAGGACTTGGTGCCCACACCTACCTGCATCCTAGACACGGAGCTACACTAGGTAAGGAGAACAGCAACTGGGTCAGAGGCAAGCTGGGATTGCTGTGGGCAGGATGCAAGCAAAATCCCTCCACCCTTGGCTTTTCCATTCCCTTTTGGTCCCAAACCTCAGCAGGGCTCCACCTGCACAGGTAGGGGATGCCTACCTTCACTCTGAGCAAGGGTGAGCACAGTCTTCTGGGGCCCGGCCATCTGCAAACCATGGGATGCTCTGTCCTGGAAGGAATTACCTGTGAGATGAGGTGGACCTCCAAAAGAAAGCTAAAGGCTCTGAACCCCTATGTTTCCCAGAGAGCAGAACCTGGGCCTGCTAGTGCTCAGGAGGAATTCATTCTCCAGGTCCACCCCACAAAATGGGCATCATGGAGGGCCAGCCCATGGCTCACTTGGGAGAGTGTGGTGCTGATAACACCAAGGCCAAGGGTTCGGATCCCTATACAGGGATGGCTGGTTAGCTCACTTATGAGAGTGTGGTGCTAACAACCCCAAATTAAGGGTTAAGATCCCCTTACTGGTCATCTTAAAAAAAAAAAAAAAGGGGCATCGTGGTACCACCAACATCAAGTTGCTGAGGTGAAGGGGGCACTTTCTGACTTTTCATTTCAAGGATGTGATGGGCAAGCATAAGGACAGCAACTTTTTTTTTTTTTTCCTTTTTGTCTTTTTTCGTGACTGGTAACGGGATCACAACCCTCGGTGTCACGCCCGCACTGCGCTCAACCAGTGAGTGGACCGGTCTCTACATGGGATCCGAACCCTGCCGCGCTCCCAAGCGCCGCACTCTACCGAATGCGCCACTGGGCCGGCCCACGACAGCAACTTTTTCAAAAATCTGTGTTGTTTGAAACCTGTGTTCTGAGATGACGTCCCATACATCTTGCTTGCTTAGTGTCACCCTGTAAGGCTGTTGACTCGCCAGGGGCAGGGCAGGGCTGTCAGGTTCCTGCCATTTCCCAAGCACCAGCACAGATCTGGCACATGGTAGAAATCCATGCATTTCTGTTGAATGAATGAGTGATTTAAAGAGACCCCAGGGCTGGCCCAACAAGCCTCCTCTAATGTAAGGAGCTGCCCATCCCCAGCCAAGATGGAGCAGGCCATGTACACAGACACTGCCCATCAGATCGGCCCAGGCTCCGCAACACGGAAGAAAGGTTAATAACTAATGGAAGGCTAAAAATCTAATGATCAAAGGAAATGAAGGTTACAAAAACCAAACACTGAATCAACAAATGTTCAAACTTGACCACAGTGAAAGAAATTTAAATCAATATGACTATGATGTATTATTCAATAATAATTAAATAATAAAAAAATTAAAAATTTATGACAACGAATGTTGACATGGCTCTGAGGAAAGGCAATGCAGCTAGCATTTAAAATGGCTTGGTTTATTTTTTTTTTTTTTTTTTTTTTTTTTACAATCTATCCATCTTAGTCCATTTTGTGCTGCTATAACAGAATGCCTGAGATTGGGTAATTTGTAATAAACAGAAACTTATTTAGCTCATGGTTCTGGAGGCTGGGAAGTCCAAGATTGAGGGACTGCATCTGCTGAGGGCCTTCTTGCTGCATCAACCCATGGAGGAAGGCAAAAGGGCAAGAGAACATGCATGAGAGAGAAAGAGAGGGAGAATGAAAGAGTGAGAAGGTGACTATAGATAATAACAATGTATAGGATTCTTGAAAATTGCTAAAAGAGTAGATTTTAAGTGTTATCACCAGAAAAAAATGTTATGTATGTGAAGTAATGCATATGTTAATTAGTTGAATTTAGCCATTTCACAATGTATACATATTTTTAAGCAACATGTTGTACATGGTAAACATACATGATTTTCATCAATTTAAAATTAATTTATTTCAAAAGAAGCTATAGCAATTATAAATATATATGCACCTAAAAACAGAGCCCCAAAATATATAAAGCAAATTGACAGAAATGGAGAAACAGTTCTAAAATAACAGTAGACACTTTAACACCCTACTTTCAATAAGGAAACAACCACACAGAAGATCAAAAGAGAAGAAAGGACATGAACAACAGTATAAACCAACTAGAAAATCTCACAGAATGAGGAGGAAAAGGCAAAATAAATCAAGATAAGAAAAGAGGAGAAAAAGGGAGATCTAGAGGGCCAGTCTAGGAGTTACAATCTATGCATAATAGGAATATCTGAAACAGAGGACAAAGCAAATGGAGCTGAAACAGTAATTAATTAGCTAATTGAAGAAAATTTTCTGGAGTTGAAGAACGAATTAGATCTACAAATGGAAAAAGAGCACCGGCTACCTTTAAAGTTTGATGAAAAGAAAGCAACACCGAGACATAGTCTGGTGATGTTTTTAAATTTCAAGGATAAAGAAAAAAAACTAAAGTATCCAGACAGAGGGCCGGCCCGGTGGTGCACTCGGTAGAGTGCGGCGCTTGGGAGTGTGGTGGTGCTCCCGCCGAGGGTTTGGATCCCATATAGAGACTGGTCCGCTCACTGGTTGAGCACGGTGCGGGCGCGACACCGAGGGTTGCGATCCCGTTACTGGTCACGGTGCGGGCGCGACACCGAGGGTTGCGATCCCGTTACTGGTCACGGTGCGGGCGCGACACCGAGGGTTGCGATCCCGTTACTGGTCACGGTGCGGGCGCGACACCGAGGGTTGCGATCCCGTTACTGGTCACGGTGCGGGCGCGACACCGAGGGTTGCGATCCCGTTACTGGTCACGGTGCGGGCGCGACACCGAGGGTTGCGATCCCGTTACTGGTCACGGTGCGGGCGCGACACCGAGGGTTGCGATCCCGTTGCCGGTCACGAAAAAAGACAAAAAGGAAAAAAAAAAAGTATCCAGACAGAGAAAGCAAGTTACTGATAAAGGGGCAAAAGTCAGGCTGACCTCAAATTTTCTCTTGCAGTTCTAAATGCCAGAAGACAATGGAACAATATCTACAGAGTTTTAAGGGAAAATAATTTTGAACCAAGAATTATATACCCTGCCAAGTTATCACTTCTGTACAAAGGTAACCTGAAGACATTCTCAAATATGCAGGGGTTAAGAAAGTATGTCAACCAAGAATGTTCCCTGAGAAACTTGCTGAATGATATACCGCAGCAAACAGAGAACATAAACTAAAGTAACTCAAGAGTAAGGAGGCAAATTGTATGAAAGAATTAATGGTAAGCATTAGAACTAGTTAAGGCTTATTAAGTTTATATTGTTATATACATGATAATAAAAATAAATACAAAAATAGGTTTGTAAGCTAAGTCTAAAATTTCAGTTTATATAATTTTAAACTGTGAAAGGGCATGCCAAATGTTCAGCATAGCTGGCAAATAAGTACTATTTTATTTTTTGCATGTAGTATTGTGGATAAAAATATGCATATTTTAAAACTAAACATAAGGGGCCGGCCTGGTGGCGCACTGCCATGGTGCGCCGCTTGAGAAGTGCGGCGGCACTCCCGCCAAGGGTTCGGATCTCACATGCAGACCGGTTCCCGCTCACTGGCTGGGCGAGGCGCGGGAGCAACACCGAGGTGCGGGAGCAACACCGAGGCGCGGGAGCAACACCGAGGG